CAACCTACTTAGTCCTCTGATCAGTCCTACCTCCTTTCCATAACATCAAATCCCTGAGCACCACTTAATCTCTGCCTCAGACTCTGCTTCCTGGGAAGAACCATCTGGGACACCCCCCTCATCCATTCAGGAGGTTCCAGAAAGCAGCAAGTGTAAAGCATCTAGTCACAACACCCAGCATAATGAATGTCAACCTCTTTCCCTTCTCCAAATTTTTTTTTTCAAATTTTTACTTAAATCCTAGTTCATTAACCTACAGTGCAATATTGGTCTCAGGAGTAGAACCCTTCTCCCGATTTAACCCAGCTTGACCCAGTACGTGATCGGCCAAACCCTTAAAGGCTACTGTAACATTTATTCAACTAGTATTGACATGGTATCCCTCTGCCACAAATCTTTCATGGTGTCACGGAACACAGTCTGCAACTCAACATAAGATCTGAACACCTCGGGCGCCTGGATGGCTCCGTTGGTTGAGAGATTGTCTTCAGCTCAGGTCATGATCCTGGAGTCCCAAGACTGAGTCCTGCATGGGGCTCCCTGCTAAGCAGGGGGTCTGCTTCTCCCTCTGACCTTCCCGCTCTCATGCTCCCTCTCTCTCATTCTTTCTTTCTCTCAAATAAATAAAGTCTTCAAAAAAAAAAAAAAGATCTGCATACCTCTTCGGGGCGTGATTCCTGGTTCATTTTATGACATCACCTACACTGTGTTCACTCCTTTATAGACTGTGTCTGTGTCTTGCTGTCTTCCTCATTAGACAGTGGACTGTCCCTTGGTATTATTATACACAGTGCATGACCCCCCTGTATAGGCAGCACCTTCTTGGCCAAACGGATTCATGATGACAGAAAGAAAGAAATTGTTAAAAATCTGGTTTGGCCGCTCAGTCTGTGGCACTTCCTTAAGGCAGCTCTGTGAGACTAATGCCCACCCTGTTGGGATGCCTGAGTGCCTCACTTGATTAAGCGTCTGCCTTCCGGCTCAAGTCATGATCCCAGGGCCTCCTGCTCAGCAGGGAGCCTGCTGTCCCTCCCACCACTCATGCTCACTCTCTCGCTTTCAAATTAATAAATAGGTAAAATCTTAAAAAAAAAAAAAAACTAATGCCCACAGTCATTTAGAAGTACTGAAACTTCTAAAAAGAAGACTAATACTAAAAAATAACAAATATATAAAGAAAAGAACACCTATTACACATGTATAACTATAAATTTTCATAAACTGGGTTAGTACACAGGCGAAGAAACTGTGTAACCAGCACCCAGATCAAGAAACAGAACCTCACCAGCACCCGCCATCAAAAGACACCTTGTACCTTCTTCCAGGCATCTTGCCCCCTCCAGAGGCCACAACGATGCTGATTGCTTACAGAAAAGATTAGATTATCTCTTTTATGTAAACGAAGTCTTATAATATAAATACAATCATACTCTCTTTGTTAAAGATTTTTATTTACTTATTTGAAAGAGAGAGAGTGTGTGTGAGTTAGAGGGAGAGGGAGAGAGAATCGGAAGCAGATCCATGCAGAGTGCTGAGCCTGACGTGGGGCTCGATCTCACGACCCCAAGATCCATAAGATCCTCATGACCAGAGCTGAAACCAAGAATTGCCGCTTAACTGACTGAGCTCCCCAGGCACCCTACAATAATACTCTTCTGTGACTGCTTTCAGTCAACACTATGTTTGTTAAGCACATCCCTGATTTTACATCCCATTGTGATATTCCCTGCTGTAATTTAGAAAGTATTTCCTATATCCTAAAACAACGCCCTCCGCGAAGATGGAGTACTAAACTACTGCTGGAAAAGTACCCTGAAATGTCCACAACTTTGCAACAGAATTTAGGTAGGATGAAATGCTATGAAAAAGCTTCTTTTAAAAAAAGAAATCCATAACATGTCATGCTGTTAACCTTGGACATCCTTCTCTGAAACATAGTAATTTTCTGTTTGACAAGTACTAATGTAGCACTTCCCACATCCCAGGCACTGTTCTAAGTGCTCTACCAATAGGAACCCGTTTAATCCTCCTGACAGCCCTGTAAGGGAGGCTCTATTATCATCATTCCTATTTTACAGATAAGGAAAGATAAAGATAGGGAAACTGAGATGCAGGAAACTTATGTAACTTTCTCCAGGTCAGACGGCTAGTGAATGGCAGCCCTTGCCAAGGCGGGAGGAGACGACATTTGAAACTAGAAGTCCATCTCCGGTGTCTATGCCCTTAAACACCACACTCTAAAACATTCGAGATAATGCTGACAAAACTGAGCAGAATGCTATGACCCTTGCATATTTAGGTGTATTAGGAGTACGTTCCTTCTTACGTTCCTTGCTGTGGGAAATCAGTCTTGCATTTTGCAATGCCTTCAGAATCATCTGCTGCAAAAACTTCTACTACCTTCTATTGCCAGATACTCTTCCTTCCGACCACCAGTGCCAAATCGTTCCGGATTTTATTATTATCCACTTGCAAGGTTGATCCTAGAACCCTCCAAGTCTCTGACTCTGAAAATCACATTAATCGGGGCCCATGCTCCCCGAAGTATTCAATAAATGGCCTCTCTCCAAAATCCCTCGGGTGGTTTAAGAGAACAGGATTGCAAGGACATCTGCCTCACAGTTCAAAGTTTGCTCAGCGAGAAAACCCATATGAAATGCTTAAAGCTATGCCTGCTCCTGCCAAGTGCTGTCGAACGTCAACCATGTTTCTTCCTGTCACCGTATCTATCAAACTGCCTGCAACCACACGGTCTCCAGGTCCTCTCCTGCTACCAGCGATGATGTGCTCCTGCCTTGCTCTTGGGACACTTACGCTCCTGATCCATCTCCACTCTCCTTTGCAAGAACTCAGCTCTTAAAATTATGCCTTCTTTTTCAGAGTCAGTTTCTCCTCTCAGCTGGAGGACTCGCAGCTGAGGCCTCTTTCCAGTGTCTCCCATCTTCTCAACTGTTCCCTTAATTAACATATGATCAAGAGAGCATTGCAAACCAATAGGGAAAACAAAGATGATTTGACAAAGAGAAAAAGGTATTTCAAGCTTTACAGCAGATGGAGACAAGATTCGAACATGAAAAATAAAACCGTGTAGTCTCCCCCAAATAAGAGAATTTCTTAAAATGATCAGAGTAGAGAAGGTTTTTCTAACACAAAACCATAAAAGAAAAAACAATGAGAAATTTGAAAACATAGAACTAAAGCATTTTGGGCAAAGTGAAAAGCACCATAAACAAAGTCAAAGCACAAATTACAAAGGTGGGGGGGGTTGAGGGTGAATGGATATTTGAAACTCTTTTTGTTGTTGTTGTACATCTGGGATTGTATTTCTTCTTTGGGGTTAGGGTTGAAGGGAAACAGGTTTTAGCTGAGAAACTTTTTTGCTAAAATTGTGCCTTGAAAGTTTTAAATAAGTAGCAGACCATGCTCAGGAGGGAGTCTCCTTCTCTCCCTCTCCCTCTGCCCCCACCCATTCATGCTAGTGCCCACAGGCTCTCTCGCTCTCTCTCTCTCTCTCTCTCAAATAAATAAATAAATCTTAAAAAAAAATAATGTCACAATAGCATAAAAAAACTAGTGTTGCCTGGGTGGCTCAGTGGGTTAAGTCTCTGCCTTCTGGCTCAGGTCATGATCCCAGGTTCCTGGAATCAAGCCCAGCATCAGGCTCCCTGCTCAGGGGAAAGCCTGCTTCTCCCTCTCTCACTTCCTCTGCTTGTGTTCCCTCTCTCGCTGTGCCTCTTTGTGACAAATAAATAAATTCTTAAAAAAAAAAAAAAAGAAAGAAAGAAAGAAAGAAATCCTCCCCTTTTGGGTCAATTGATTGTCAATAAAAGTGCCACAGCAATTCAATAAAGACAGTGTTTTCAACAAATGGTGCCAGAGCCTCTTATTAATATCCATATGCAAAAAGATTAATTTAGACCCTTCTGTCAAACAAAACTGAGTCACAAAAACTAATTCAACCCAAATGTAAGAACTTAAACCGGGGAGTAATTTGATGTCTGGGGCTAGCTCAAGCAAGAGACGTGGAGTGGAAATTTAGTTTGGGTGTTCTTAGCCTGCAGTTGAAGCATGTGAGGGATGCTCCATTCTCTACCCGGCAATGGGACTGGAGTCCAGGAGAGCGATCTGGGACTGAGGTCTCTGGAACCCAGGTCAAGGAACAAAGAGAGCTTAGGGCATTGTCCAGAGTTCTTTCACCTAGAGTTTTAATTTGCTTGGAGTGCCTTCTATTTCAAGGGCGCCATTGGTGGTGTTAGGCTAAGTGCTAACACCACCAATGGCTGTGAGGGAATAACCAGATAGATGACTTGGGTGAGAAGAAAGGTAAGATTGTGCCCAAGGGTTTTTCTGCACCATTAGAAGATCTAGAAGTGTCACTCTTCAACCATTGCAGTACAACTGACTGGGTGATATTCCCGCCCCCCTGAGAATTTTCTGAATATTGTAATTACATCCCATCCTTTGCATCTTCTTAATTGTCCATTAACTAACCACTTTTAGGAGTACATGATCACATAATCAAATCTAACAAATGTTGGAAAATAAATGTCTCATCTCTATCTAATAATACGTAATCCTGTCCTAGAACTACAACCCTGTTTTTAATTGACTGATATTTAAAATCCATAACTTTATTTCTGGATACCAGAAAAAGGAGAATTTTGAGACATTCCCTAACAGGGCAATTCATTTCCAGACCTTCTAAAACATATTCCACACTCCCTTTCTCCTAGCGCTCCGCCTCCTTTCGAATCACGTTTCTCGGCTGTAAATCTCGCGAGAGATCGAGTTCTCATGAATTCTCCCAGGAGCCACCGCTCTTCCTCTTCCTTTCAGCGGCCTGGGGTGAGTGAGTGTTTGCCATGCCTCCGGACTGCCGAATCCCCCGGTCATCGCCGCCATCCTGGCTTCGGTGGCGCTAATATCCGTGCCCCCGGGAGGAAGGCGTCTGCGGCTACTGATTCTTCGCTGGGGGCGATGTCCTTTGGTGCACGGGGACGTGTCGGAGCAGAAGGCCGCGATGGGCGGGAATGGGGGTGACGAGGGGTACGGGCGGCCTGTCGTCAGTGCGGTTTCTGACCTCGGAAGGCCTGTGTCTTGCTGAGTGCTGGCCGGGTACGCGGCGCGTGTGTGGCTGCAACGAAAGAACGTTTTGGGGGAATTAAAGTCGGGTTGAGCCTTTACCCGTTCGAACGGGTGTTTCAAGGTCGCTGGCGCTCATTGTAATGGCCCAGAAGGACCTGGGGAGACGGCGGCACCCCTAGAGAGGGAGCGCCCTGCCACGCCGAGGCGTCCAGTCCTTTTACTCCTTACGGATCCAGAGCGGGGGTTGAAACTATTTTCCTGCGGAGGGTCAGAGGGCTGTTGGGTCCGTGTCCTCAGTCTGTGTCAGCATTGCCGCAGCCCCTGGTAGATGCGGGGGGAGAAAAGGATGGCCGCGATGATGGCGTTTCTTAGGACACCTTTGGATTAACCGTGAAAACAAGTACTTTCTGAGCGGCCGTTGGTAGGAGTTCATACGTACTTACACTGTATCGGTTACAGTAAATGCGTGTTGACAGAATTCCTCCCCCTCCCTTCCAGGTGACCTCTGAACATGGTTCGCTATTCGCTTGACCCGGAAAACCCTACGAAATGTACGTGAACAATATATTCTTTATGGGGGCGGGGTAAGAGGAACAATGAGATACCCAAAATTAACCAAAACTTTCCGTTTTTTAGCATGCAAGTCAAGAGGTTCAAATCTCCGTGTTCACTTTAAGGTACGGGAATCAACTTTTATGGTCCTAAGAGTTGTGTCACATGTTCCAGGGCACCCCCCACCCCATTCTGAAAAGGTGACTGCAGTGATGCGTTTCTTAGGACACCTTTGGATTTACCATGAAAATGAATCAGTTCTGAGCGGCCACCTTTGAGACATTGGCTCTATAATTGTCAGTCAAATAATGAGCACTTCAAGGTCCATGGAATTTGGTAAAACTACAGGAGAACCACATAAGCTAGTGTAGAGATCCAAATAATGGGACACAAACAGTTACAACATGATGGGGTTAAAACGTACACTTCATAGGGGTTTGGGATTTATTTTCCTGTAACTTCAAGCCAATTCTCCCTGGCTTTTATTTATTTATTTACTTAAGGATTTCATTTATTTATTTGAGAGGGAGAGAATGAGGGCCAGAGACTGAGGGGGGGAAGGCCCAGGGAGAAACAGACTCTTCTGCAGAGCAGGGAGCCAGATGCAGGACTCATCCGGAGACTCCACGATCATGACCTGAGCAGAAGGCAGTCGCTTAACCCAAATAAGCCACCCAGAAGCCCCTCCCTGGCTTTTAAGAGTTGTGTCACAGGTGTTTTTTTTTTTTTTTTCTTCTTCCCTCACTACATTACCTCAGCTTTTAAGAATGGGAAGTCTCTGGGGCACCTGGATGGTTCAGTTATTAAGCATCTGCCTTTGGCTCAGGTCACGATCCCAGGGTCCTGGTATCGAGCCCCGGGAAGCCTGCTTCTCCCTCTTCTACTCCCACTCCCACTGTTTGTGTTCCTCTCTCACTGTGTCTCTGTCAAATAAATAAAATCTTTGTAAAAAAAGGATAGGAAGCCTTTAATTTTGATTCAGCATAGACATTTTGAAAAACCTAGAATTGAATGTTTACTTGAAGAATTGTTATCCTTTAACACGGGTAACTCAGTTTTACTGTTTATACTTAGAACACACGTGAAACTGCCCAGGCCATCAAGGGTATGCATATCCGAAAAGCCACCAAGTATCTGAAAGACGTTACTTTGCAGAAGCAGTGTGTGCCATTCCGTCGCTACAATGGTGGAGTTGGTAGGTGTGCCCAGGTGAGACTTCTTAGTTGCTATCTGAAATGACATTGTAACAGAATGTGATTGGGTGGGGCAGGAATATTTAGAATCTGCCTTTAATCAGGTTCTTCCTGGTTGCTGTGATGACCAACTTAGGACACCTTTGGATTAACCATGAAAAAAAACTGTGTTCTGAGCAACCTTGATAAAATAAATTCATCTTGGTTGTAACACTGAATTAAATCGGGGGAATGAGTAATCACCTCTTGGATTTCTTTCAGGCCAAACAGTGGGGCTGGACACAAGGTCGGTGGCCCAAGAAGAGTGCTGAATTTTTACTGCACATGCTTAAAAACGCAGAGAGTAATGCTGAACTTAAGGTACCCAAACCATTAACATCTTTATATGTATACAACCTGGATGGTTGTTCAGTTACTGATGCTGTTGTCCCAGATTTGTTTCTTTGTCTTGATTTTCTCAGTAACTAAATTTCCCATTAATTTTTTAATTTAATCTCTACCTCATATTTCCAGAAGACCAAAATTTTGTCAGTGAGGATCTTCAAAAGCATGGTCTTCAAGCTTAACTTTTCCCCTATAAGCCCAGTGCAAGAAAAAGAAACATTTTCTCCCATGTATTTTACTCAAGGGTTTATAACCTTTCTAGTACCATAGACAGACATTTTTGGTGATGTCATAAGTCGTATGGTGACTTATGAATTTCACAAAATGTTTGTAAATACAAACAGTAGAAATCATTTGGAACAAATAGAGGTTCCAAAATGATTGCTTTAGTAATGGTTAATATGGTTTGCTGCCTATGTTCATAATGGAGAGACATTAAATTTAGTTAGTAAAGGGGTCTGTCTCTTCTGTGCATTAGCCATTACCCCTTTGCATTTGGAAATCTAGGCCAAACTGGAGTTATGTAGGTCTGGCTATAACCCTTCTAGCTGCTAAACCGCACGGCTGAAATCCTGTTTTTCATCAAGGCTTAGAAATTGACACTATCAGATCTGCTCCCGTTAATGACTTTCAGGGAGGCCACTTACAAACTGCCTATAGCATTGGGTTTTGATAAGTTACTTAGATTTAAGGAAAGATGCTTAGAATAAAGGTAAAAACAAGTGTTTGAACAGCTATGCTATGTAATTAAGAATTGCCTTATAAAGGTAAGGACTTGAGCCAGTGATTGGGTTTGTGGTGTTGAGATAAAGGTGTTGATTTTGTTCTCCCTCTTCCCAGGGTTTAGATGTCGATTCTCTGGTCATTGAGCACATTCAGGTGAACAAAGCCCCCAAGATGCGGCGTAGGACTTACAGGGCTCATGGTCGGATTAACCCATACATGAGCTCTCCCTGCCACATTGAGATGATCCTTACTGAAAAAGAGCAGATTGTTCCTAAACCAGAAGAGGAGGTTGCACAGAAGAAAAAGGTAAACTACTCAGTCTTGGTCAGTTTTGTTTATGGTACTGGCTTTTTTGTATTATGTTATATCAGAACTATGTAATTATCTGCTGATGGCCCCACCTACATGTCCATAGACACTTTAAATGCACTATGGGCAAAAAATGGGCCCTTCCCCTCTTCCTCACCTCTCCAAACTAATCTTGTTTTCAGTAAATGATCAGTTTATTGTTCTTTTCTACTGTTTGAGTTCTTTAAGCTGGGAACCTGGGAGTGATTCTAGACCCCCTCCCTTCATGCCTAATGAATTTAACTTCTGTTGATTTTTACTGCTTAAATATATTGTCCTCCATTCTTTTTTTTTCTTTTTCTCCTTTAAAATTTCATTTATTTTCTTTTAGAAAGAGTTGGGGGCGGGTGGGGCAGAGGGAGAGACTCTTCAAGCACAGGGCTCCACTCCAGGTTGCGGTCTCATGACCCTGAGATCTAGAGCCAAAACCAGAAGTTGGACACTTGACACTTAAACGACAGAGCCACCCAAATGCCCCTATTGTCTTCCATTCTTGTTGCCACTTAGACGTGGTCTCGATGCCTACAGTCTTCAGCAGACTTCCTGCTTACTCTCATTTCCTTACTTCTCTCCCTCCCCCTGTGCCAATTCTCTATGCCAAAAGACTGGACTCCCTTTACATTAACATTTCCTATTTTTCCTGAGTTAAAACCTACTCCTTTAAGATATGGTGGAAGTTGCTCCAGGAAACTTGTAACAGACCTTTTGTTTTTATTTCTTTTCCAGATATCCCAGAAGAAACTGAAGAAACAAAAACTTATGGCCCGGGAGTAAATTTGCACAGAATAAATGCAAATAAAAATAAAAGAGAATGTTGGTTGTCTTTTATTACTAAATGTATTTCAAGTATCCTCACAAAATGGATCAAATGAGTTTTCTTCTGATTAGAATTAGAAACATTCTTCTGTTTGTCCTGTGCCATTAATTGTTGTTAACAAACATGCTGTTTTGAATTTCTTGGTGCTTTGCATAATGGAATTTGAGCCTGGGCATATTTCTGAGTTTTATCCCACCTACTTTGAGATTGAACACACCGTACAGTTAATCCAATTACAACTCAATAGCTTTTATTAGATTCAATTATGCATCCATTGCCAGGTAAACTTTTGGACATTCTTCATTATCCAAAAGAGGAACCGCGGCTGTAGTCTCCGGTCACTCCTCACCAGAACCTGTCCAGTCGTGAGCAACCACTGTGTAGATGTCTGTGTATTTGCCCACCCTGGCCATTTCGTGTAAACAGCACTTTAACTGCATGACATGTTCTCATTTCTCGTGGGTCCACACCAAGAGCGTAGTGCAGGACAAACGCGAGAAACTGCCAAAGCTTAACTACCAACTGAGGGTTCCAATTCTCCAGTTGGCTTCCCGCCGTCCTAGTCTGTAAAGAGGGAGAACCTTTACAGCGCTTTAAAGAACTTCGACCTAGTGAAGAGCCACGACTGCTCTGGGTAACAGCCTAGCCCTCACGTGCAAGTGCGGGGACTTCCCCGATGGTGAACCACTTCATCTTTTCTCACGGTGTTGGGTTTTGCTTGAGTATCCGGGGCAGGGAAGCCCCGCTCTTCCTCGCCTTCCGCAGGGCTGGAGCGGCTGGTGGCTGCGCCGGAAGCCAGGCCGCGCCTCCGCTTGCGCGTCACCGTTACGTCCTGGGCGCCCTGCGGCTGACGCAGGCGCGCCTTTGTCGGCCCCTTTTGCGGCGCCCATTGGCTTCGCGGCAGCACGTCCCTCCCCACGGAAGTACGGTCATCTCCACTCGGACCCGGTGGTCGCAGGTGAGTGGGGTCGGGTGGGCCCGGGCTGGCGCCTGCGGGTCGGACGAAGGTGGGTGATGGCCCTGGTGCTGTGGAGCCGATTCGCGGGCTTCAGCCCGGGCGGCGCTAAGCGAGCCCCACCGGCTCGCAGTTCGCCTGCTCTGCACTCCCCGCGGCCCGCCAGCGCTCACGGGTCTACCCTGCTTGGCCCTCCAGACGCGCGCCCCTGCCTGCTCTTTCCACCGCCCCCCACCCGCCCGCTGGCCTGCGTCCCGCCTCTGTCTTTCTGTGCGTTTATTCTCTCGGCGTGTATTGTCGGCTTCACTTCGCTCGCTTGTCATCGTCACCAGCATTCGCTCTTACTCTCTCCTGTCTATTCAGGCCCTGTCTTGGACTCACCCTGCCCCGTAAAATGATGTGCTAAACTGGGTTACTTGGAAGGAGGTGGCGTTCCCCCACGGTACCTGCCCGATTTCTCATAGAGCCTCACCCTTTTCCTCTGTATTCCATTGTCTTGGACGAAGCCGAATGAGAGAAAATCTCTCTCTTCCAACAGCTTAAATCCATTTTGCTCGCTTTGTTGTACTATCAGAATTAGCTTGGTGAGAGCAAATAAAATATTTTATCAATTTATCCTAGCCACCTTCTAAACCTTTGTAAGCTATGTTTTCCACATGTGTGAAGTAAAACCTCACCCTAAGGAGTCATGTAAGGATTAAGGGAGAGAGAAAATACAGTAGTTTCATCATGAAGAGAGCTAACAATGTTTATAAAAGCCATGATTATGACATAAGTGATTGGTAGCACTTGTTCTTGAGAATTTAAAACACCGTAAAGTAGGTAAAAATGAATCTGTGATGGGCTTCCAGTCATTAACTTAACCTAGTCCTCGGAACACTCTCAGTTGTGTGGAAGGGTTTATGTTGGGTTGTGAAGGCTTGATAGGAGGGGAATAACTTAATCACTGTATTTTTGCTAGGGAAAAAGGCAAGAGCATTGAGCTAGGAAACTAGAGTTGGGAATTCTGGTCTCAGCCAACTCTAGTTACTATTTAGCTCTGTGTGAACTTTGAACAGGTTGCAACTTTTGTATCTGTGTGTGTGTGTGTGTGGTAACAACCTTTACATAGCACTTAATACACACACACTCTTCTGAGCTTAATATTCATTACTGACATATCTAATCCACATTTACATCCCTGGGAGATAAGGCTATTGTCTTCATCTTCCACAGGAGGGCATCAAGGCAGACTCATTAAATAAATTGCCCAAGAACACCCATCTCGAAAGTGCTGAAAGCAGGCTTCAAATCTGGGCAGCTGCGGCCAGTCCGCTCTGATTAGGGTGTTGTGTCTGTAAGAGTGCGAGATCTAAACCAGATCACCTCTACGTCTCTCAAGGTCAAATTCTAAATGTCTATGACAAAAATAATGATTCCTTGAAAAATGCTAAAAAAAGACTCACTGCTCATTTTGACTAATTTCAATTAGAAAATATGCTCTTTTTTGAAACAATATTTTGGTAAATTCTTAAATTGTTACTTTAGTTTGACCAGGGGACTGTTTTAAAGAATCCAGCTATGAATCCTTTATAAAACAGCTGATCAATCCTTAATATACATTTATGTTTACTTGTTTATAACTATTATAATTCGTTTCAAAGTGACATTACTTTGGGTTATCTGTACCACTGCTCACTTGTGTTGTGAATCTTTAAATTGCTTTAGTGTAGTCATGGTGCTGACTCCTTTGCCAGCAGGCTACTAAATTTATAATATTTTGAAAATTAACATCCTGAATTATTAGCTTTATGCAGTGTTCTGAAGCTTTTTAGTTTTTCAGGCCTACACTAAGGGATTAAAAATTCCTGTAAATTTAAGAGGTCTTTAGTTCAATAGTACATTATGGAAGTAGCATGGTTCTTTTTCAAGAAATTGCTGATTTGAAGAAATTCCAAGATAATTTCTAATCTTCGAGGAAATTAGAGGTGTTAACTTTTTTTTTGTTTGAGGGATGCCTGGGTGGCTCAGTTGGTTAAGCATCTGCCTTTGACTCTGGTCGTGATCCTGGGGTCCTGGGATCAGGTCCGCCTTGGGCTCCTTGCTCAGCAGGGACCCTGCTTCTCCCTCTGCCTGTTCTGCCTGCAGCTCTCCATGCTTTTGCTCTCTCTCTAACAAATAAATAAATGAAATCTTAAAAAAAAAAAAAAAGATGTATTTGAAAGAGAGCCCCTACGTATGCATGGGGGGAGGGGCAAAGGGAGAGACTCTCAAGCAGACTCCCTGCTGAGCACTGATTTCCCAGCTCAGGAGCTTGATCTCATGACCTGAGCTGAAACCAAGAGTCAGACCCTTAACTGACTGAGCCCCCCAGACCCCCCTAGAGGTGTTCATTTTTTGAAATGGACAACGTACTTACAACAATACTAACACCAAATAAAATATTTTTATTACTCAGTTTACCTTAATTGTTATTAAAACAAAAAAAGCAAATATATCAAAGGAGATTTGTTGTCTGGGAAAGTCCAGATGGTTTGCAGCCTACAGGTCTTCCAAAGTGGTATCTTTTTTTTTTTTTTTTATAAGTCAGCAGTAGAACTCCAGTGCTG